GGGGGGGGACAAAAAATAGTAAGAGCTATACATGATTATTTGAAGGACATGCAATCTATCAAATAGCTACAGACTTTTTCCTTGCATGTCAAGAAGCTTAAAGCCAGAATATGGCTCAATTAAATAATCTAACAACTTTCACGGCTTATTTTTGTTCTATTCCTTTTCTTCTCTCTGTCTCCTATTCGAAATTATAGTTCCTTGGTTTCCTTGGTCCTAACTTTGTGGGTTTTTTCAGCTTTATTGATAAAATTCACATATCACACAATACACCCATTTAAAATGTGTAATTCACAGAGCTGTGTAATCGTTATCACAATCAATTTTATATTATAAAAGTCAATTCCTATTTCTTCCTGAACCTCTCAGTCTTAGGCAGCCACTTATCTGCTTTTTGTCTCTGTAGGTTTGCCTATTCTGGATACCTCATATGAAAGCAACCATTTAATATGTGGCTTCTTTAACTTAGCATAATATTTGCAGGGCTCATTCACGTTATAGCATATATTAGAATTTCATTTCTTTTTATTGTTGAATAATATTCCATCATAGATATACCACATTTTATTCATCCATTCATCAGTAGATGGACATTTGGACTGTTTCTACTTTTTGGCTATTATGAATAAAGTTACTGTGAACATTCATGTACAAACTTTTGGTTTGGACATATGTTTTAATTTCTTTTAGGTATGCATATCTAGGAGAGCATTGCCGGATCATATGCAACATTTTGAGGAACTGTCAAACTATTTTTCTTTTTTTTGTAAATATATCTTTGTTGATTTCAGAGAGAGGAAAGGAGAGGGAGAGAGAGAGATGGAAACATCAATGATGAGTCATTGATCGGCTGCCTCCTGCTCACCCCCAACTGGGGATCGAGCCCACAACCTGGGCATGTGCCCTGACCAGGAATAGAACCCTGATCGCCTGGATCCTAGGTCAAAGCTCCACCACTGAGCCATGCCTGGCCAGGCACCAAACAATTTTTCAAAGTACCTTCACCATTTCAAATTCCCACCAGCAAAGTATAAAAGCCACAACTTATTATTATCTGTCTTTTTGGTTTGGTTATAGCCATCATAATGGGTACAAGGTAGTATCTTGCTGAAGTTGTGCATTTCCCTAATGGATAATGACTTTGAACATTTTTTCATGTACTTATTGGCCACTGGCATATCTTCTATGGAGAAATGTCTGTTCGGATCCTTTGCCTATTTTTAAATTGGGTTGTTTGTCCTTTTTATTGTTGAGTTCTAAGAGTTCTTTATATTCTGGATACAAGTCTCTTATATATATTGACTTGCAAATATTTTCTTCCATTCTGTGGACTGTCTTTTCACTTTCTGTATGACATCTACTGACTTTATTTTTAAACTTGTATGATTTTTTTTATAAGTTCCTTCAACCTTTTAAGATTAAAGTGTTAAAAATGTTCATTATGTTTTACAGACTACTGAAAATATTTCAGAGGGTCCCATCACATTCAAGATAAAATAAAAATCCCAGCCCTTAAGACAATTCATGATCCAGACTGCAACCACCTCCTTCAAATGTCTCTCACATACACCTTACCCTTCAGTCTACACGTCCCAAAACAAACACTTGATCTTTCCCCAGTAATATGTTTCTCCTCAGTCTTCCTCATCTTAATAAATCGTAACTCCATCCTTTCAGTTGCTCAAGACAAAGCTGTGGAGATAGTCTTGACTACTTTCATACTCTATCATTCAGTCCATCAATGGTCCATCCTGTTGGTTCTGCTTTCAAATTATATCCAAAATCTCACTTCTCACTACCTCTACTCTTACCACTCTGGTCCATATTCCAATATTCCTAATCTGTGCAGATAAGGGTAAAATGATCCTAACTATAATCTCACTAATTCCTTGCCTCCTCATAGTCTAGCCTCAACACAGCAGCCATGGTGATTTTTTTTAAACACAAGTCATCTGTCATCCTTCTAAACCCTTCAAAGGCTTTCCAATTCATTTATACTCACCTACAATGCCTTATATTATCTGGCCTCCTGCTTCTCTCAGTTCTTCTCCTACCTCTTTCCTTCTCCCTCACTCCACTTCAGGAGCTCAGGCTTTTTTTGCCTCAGGGCCTTGCTCCAACTATTCCCTCTACCTGGGATGCTCTTTTCTCCAGAGACACACTGAGTCTGTCTCCTTTAGGTCTCTGCTCAAATGCTACCTTTTCAATGATGACTTCTCTGACCACACTAAAAATAGCAAACCTCCATCCCAAGGCTCATTAGCCCCCTTAACTTGCTTTATTTTTCTCTACAGAATTCATTACCACATAGTACAGTATATGTTTACTTGCTTGTTTACTGTCCATATCTTCCAATAGGAATATGGACTCAAGGAAGGCAGAGATTTTGTTTTTAATCAATTTCATTCACTATTATATATCTCCAGCAATTAGAACAGCTCTGGCACATAGTAAGTCCTCAAAAAATACTGAATAAACACCTAAATTTGGGGGCTAACAATCATACCTTCTCTATAACTATTAGAACACAAAGTTTTGGAAAGCACAAGCTTTAAAATGTTAGTTCTTACATTTTTCTATGGCATTTCTGATAGTCTTCTGAAGAGGTAGCTAGAAAAGGAAAAAAAAAACAATCTATTAGAAATATAATTCAGACACAGACCAGAGGCTATAAGTACTCAAGGTAAAAATAAATATTTCCTCTAAAATACATGGTATAGTGCAGTTTATTTTTTATTGTTTTACATTGTTTTTATGTCTGCCACTTAAATTAATAAAAGTATTTTCAAAATACCAAAATAAAACAAAATTATTGTAAAGTTTTATGAAATACAAGAATCTACCACCTTGTATTTGGATAGTTCTTTATAACTTTTGAGGTGCTTTTACATCTATTATGTTACTTGATCTTACAACAACCCTGTGAGGAAAACATATCATTTTACTAACCTCATTTTACATATAAGAAAAAAATAACTGGTCAAGTTGTAAAACTAATAGCTGTATACCAGGAACTTAAACTCAGGTCCCATGGTTCTTAGTCCAGTACCAACTATATAGATATGCATATTAGTAGATTCATTAGTCAAGAGAATGGCTATCAATCAAGATTTTACTGCGTAGATACACTAGGTTATAACTAGGAATATGAAGAGCCATAGCTATAGTCTTGTGAGTTATAACCCTCAGCAGCTGCAGAACTCTGCTTACATAAATTAGAATATAAAAATCCCAAGGTTAGAGAAAGTGAAGTGAATGGTGCTCCTCAATCATTGCAAATCATTTCCCTGAAAGGGAGGTCCCCAAAACATAAAGGACTACAGTGGACATGTATCATCCAGCCTCTGCTCTCTGCTCTTACTGGTAACAGTTTCCTGCTTTTTCTTCTGATGGTCCAGACATGGCCTGTGATTCAATGCAGTAAGAGCCCTGCGTATCTCCCTGGCCAAAGTGACTGTTCAGGGATAGGCATATGAACTAATTTCAGCCAATGTGTAAGACCCAGGACTTCTGTTCAAATTGTTGGGAAAGAAAAGCATTCAATGCATTGGATGTGAGGCTGTGAGTATATAAACCTGGAGCAAAAAAGGATTGAGATATAAAGGGAACTTGGCTGAGAGAATAACTGACACAGAGAGATCCTTATGAGAGACAGAAAGGAATTGGGTCCCAAGGATATCATTTGAAATCCTGGATCAAGTTGTATCTGCATCTGATTTACTGCTGGATTTTTCCGTTACATGTGGTAATTAATTCCCTTTTTAACCTAATATAGTTTGAGGTAGGGTTTTTGTTTGTTTGTTTTTGTCACTTGCAGTGGACAAAGAACCAAAACTGAAATACTTGCTAAAAAGGCAGACTGTTTCTCTGAGCATTTTAGATAAGCAAAGGTGTTGCCAAACTAAACCTAACACAGAAGACAAGGCCTTCAAACACTTAGAAATATTGCCATCTAGGCAGAAAGGAGAAAGCGATTCTTTTCTGAGAATGTGTTTTTTGTGTAGCTATGACTTTGAACCATAGTAATGTTTCACATACTTTCACATAGCCCCCTCTCTCCAAACACATAAACAGAACAAAACAGGGAGGGTGAACCAAAAATTGAATCTAGGACTAACAAATGAATCCAACTATATTGCAAGTGATTAACAACTGCACTGAAATCAGGGGAAGGAAAGAAAAGAACTAACTTACACAACTGTGAAAAAAAGTATTTTGATTGGATACTGTAATGCTAAAGACAAAAAGAACTATACATAAATGCTTTAATCTATTTAGAAAATGTATTTCTCACAGTGGTCTGGCTTAACAATCCTAAAACAACTTTAGGTGTATACTAGAATTAAATAAGTAAGTATGTAAATAATAAAAGTACTGGACTTTAATTCATAAAATAAAATAAATATCCATAAGCCCATACTGATATAAACAGATGAATAATTGGCAGAAGAGAGACAGTTCTTTTACAGTAAAATTCTAATTAAATAATGTAGCAGGAAAGAATGAAGTAGAAAATCACCATGAGACAAACACCACAGCAATAACTGTTGCAGCCAATTTCCTCTGATGTCTGGTAATATCGGTGAATGAAAGTTTGAGGAAAGACAGGATTTTCAGAATTTCAAACTATCTTTTTCTAGATATTTATTAACTACAAAAAAAAACTAGTAACTTTACAGTGGAGAAAACCAACAGACACCACCTTAAGTGATGAGGGTTTTTCCTGTGACATGAAAAAAATAATAAAAACTCACCTAAAATTGAAGAAAGGTTTGAAAACTGCGGTGCCTTCTCTATCGCTATTGCTTTACTGGTATCCAGAAGAGTGGAATTCTTGCACTGCATGTATTCTTCCAACTTGGGACACTCCCAATCTAAGAAAGCAGGGAGAAATAGCACAAAACTTTGAATAACAGCACGCAAGTAACAGGTGACCTTCCCCCTTCAGCTTAGGTAGCCAGCCCATACTCAGCTCTAATAATTAAAGTTTTGGGTGAGAAAGAGAATAAAGACAAGCCTTGATGGCCTCAAGATAGCAGATAATCTTTGGCCTATTTCCGTGCTCTAACCCACTTAATTTCAGACTTCTGCCCCATCTAAGGGACAGACAGTGTACGTGGGAGTTCCCTGTCATATTTTATGTGTAAGTTACACCTATGTCCCATTAACTATCACATCATTAAATAACATAGTGCTATTACTTGATGTCAGTTTTTAACTTTTCATTGACTTCCCACTATGGAAAAATGAGGCTATTCTCTTACATCCCCGTGTTTCCACCTTTCCCACCCTTCCCATTGTCCTCATACTATTATAGCACATATTTAATTAGATGAATATTCCATGTAGACATTATGATGGTAACTTGTCATAAAAATGCTATTTACTCTTATGGTATACCATGACCTTCTGTTTTTCCTGGGGTCAATAAGAGTCTTTTCTGTTTGTTTAGTTTCTTCTCTTTTGTTTTTCTCATCTATTTAATCCAAATTAAATTTCTCTGTGTTTTCATCTATTATTCCATTCTCTGAAGCTTCATAATGCTCTATCTTGGTGTTTTTTATCTATTGTGCTAGACGCTGTGGCCCTTTTAAACCAGAAATCATATTCTTTTTCTCTAGAAAATGTTCTTCAATTATTTCTTTGATAATTTTCTTCCCTTTATCTTTTTCTGGAACTCCTATTGGATTTCATATACTGCTTCTCTAAATTGCAATCTTTTTTCTTTCTGACTTCTCTGAAAAATTTCCTCAGCCTTATTTTCTAATACTTCTACACAGTTTTCCATTCTGCTATTGCATTGATTTTGTTCTCTGAAAAATCATTTTTCTTACAGCATCCTATTCCTATTTAGTGCATACAAAACATATATTTTTCTTACCTCAATGGATACTTTTCCCCCCCAGTATTTTCCTTTCCTGTGTTTCTATTTCTGCTAGGTTCCTTTTCTTATTTAAAATTTTTTTATTTTATTGTGGTAGGAACAGTTAACATGATATCTACCCTCTTAAATTTATAAATGTAGCCCAGCCGGGTATGGCTCAGCCGTTGAGTATTGACTTAGGATCCAGGAGATCGTGGTTCGATTCCCAGTCAGGGCACATGCCAGGGTTGCATGCTCAATCCCCAGCAGGGGGTGGTGCAGGAGGCAGCTGATCAATGACTCTCTTATCCTTGATGTTTCTCTCTCTCTCCCTCTCCCTCCCTCTCTCTCTCTGAAATCAATAAAGATATATTTAAGTATATGTATATAAATGTGTAATAGAGCATTGTTAACTACAGGCTCAATGTTGTACAACAGATCTCCAGCACCTACCCATCTTGCATAACTGAAACTTTATACCTGTTGAATACCAACTCCCCATATCCCCCTCTCCCAAAGCCCTAGCAACCAAAATTTTACTCTACACTTCTATGAATTTGACTATTTTAGATATCTCATATAAATGGAATCATACAGTATTTGTCTTCTGTGACTGACTTATTTCACTTAGCACAAGGTTCATCCATGTTGTCACATGACAGAATTTCCCACTTTTTTTTTTTTCCCCAATCCTCACCAGAGGTTATTTATTTAGACAGAGGGGAAGGAGGAGAGAGAAACATCGATGCAAAACAGAAACATCCATCAGTTGCATCTCATATGTGTTCTAACCAGGGATCAAACCCACAGCGGCATCAAACTCACAACCTTCCAGTGTACAGGACAACACTCCAACCCACTGAGCCACACCAGCCAGGGCAAGTGAATTAAACTCTCTAGTTAGCCTTACTTTCTTAAGGCTAACTAATATTCCACTGAAGGTATATACCATATTTTCTTTATCCATTCATCTGTCCATAGACATTTAGATTGTTTCTACAGCTGTTGTGAATAATGCTCCAATGAACATGAGAATAAAAATGTATCTTTGAGATCCTGATTGCAATTATTTTGAATAAATACTCAAAAGAGGGATTGCTGGATCATATGATAGTTCTATTTTCAGTTTTTTTTGGAACCTCTATACTGTTTGCCATAATAGTTGCACCATTTTACATTACCATCAAAAGTGAATAAGGGTTCCAATTTCTCCACATCCTTGCTGACACATCTTTTAAAAATAATAACCATGCCAACAGGTGTGGTGGTATCTCATTATGGGCTTGATTTGCATTTCCTTGATTAGTGATGTTGAATGTCTTTTCATGTACCGGTTGGATATTTATGTCTTCCTTGGGGAAATATCTATTCAAGTCCTTTGCCCATTTTTAAATCATTATTTGTGTGTTTTCCTGAGTTGTAGGAGTTTCTTAATATATTTTTGAATATTAATCTATCATATTTGAGATTTGTAAATATTTTTTCCCATTTTGTAGGTTGCCTTTACACTGTTTCTTTTGCTGTGCAAAAGCATTTTTTTATGTAGTTCCAGTTGTCTATTTTTGCTTTTGTTGCCTGTGCTTATGGTATCATATCCAACAAATCACTGCCAAGACCAATGTCATGAAGTTGTCATCCTGTTTTCTTCTAGGAGCTTTATAGATTCTGATCTTATGTTTAAGTCTTTAACCCATTTTGAGTTGATTTTTGTGTATGGTGTAAGGTAAGGGTTCAATTTCATATTTTGTATGTGGATATCCAGTTTCTCAGCACCATTTGTTAAAGAGACTTTTCTTTCCTCATTGTATATTCCTGGCATCCTTGTTGAAGATCAGGCAACTATATATATATACACACATGGATTTATTTCTGGGCTCTCTGTTACGCTGGTCTATGTCTCTTTATGCCAGTACCACATTATAATTACTGTAAAATACAACTTGCAATATATTTTGAAATCAAGAAATGTTTTCTATCTAGATGTTCTGTTATTGAAAGTAGAGGTAAATTCTATTATCATATTGCTGCCTGTTTCTGCCTTCAGTTATGTCAGTGTTTGCTTTATATGTTAGATACTCTGCTACTGGGTGCACATTTATTTATAATTGTTATATGTTCCTGGTGAATTGACCATTTTATCATTTATGTCCTTTTTTGTCCTTTGTGATAGTTCTTAACTTAAAGTCTATTTTATCTAATGTAAGAATAGCCATTCTTGCTCTATTTTGGTCACCATTTGCATGGAATATTTTTCATCCCTTCACTTTCAGCATGTATCTTTAAATCTAAAGTGAGTGAGTCTTTTAAAATCGACTCAGCCACTGTCTATTGATTGGGGAGTTTAATCCACTTACATTTAAAGCAGTTATTGATAGGAAAGGAGTTATTACCATTTTGTTAATTGTTTTTCTATCTGTTCTTGTAGTCTTTTTGCCCCTCTTTTCCTCTCTTGCCATTGTCCTTTGTGCTTTATTGCTATTCATACTGATATGCTTTGATATGTATTTTTCTTTTGTGTATTATTATAGATATTTTTTGTGGTTACCATGAAGCTTAGATATAAAACATAGTTTTAACAGTCTATTTTAAGTTTTAATAAAAATTTCAATCATATACAAAAACTCTACATTTTAATTCTCCCCTTAGTTATGTTACAATTTACATCTTTTTACATTGTGTATCCATTAACATATTTTTTACAGTTATTGTAAATACTGTCTTTTAACTTTTATACTAGAATTAAGTGATTTATATACCAATTATAGTATTAAATATTCTGTATTTGTCTACATATTTACCAGTGAGTTTTATGCTTTCATGTGCTTTTATGTTGCTGTTTAGAATCTTGTTTCAACTTGAAGAACTCGCTTTAAAATTTTTTTTTTAATCCTCACCCAAGGAGTGAGGATATTTTTTTCCATTGATTTTTAGAGAGAGTGGAAGCGG